TTAATGAGAAAATTTATATTTTTCTTTGGTTTTGGTTTATACTTTTAACGTTTCTAACACTATTAACGTTAATATACAGGGTGGTAATTATATTTTCACCACGTATGAGGGTGTACTTGTTTCGTATGCGATTTAGGTGAGTAAATGACCTTGAATATCAACACTTAATTTAAACAATGAGCCCTATGACCGGTTTTTTAGAAGCAGTTAAATTTTTCGCGTTTTCTGCATCTCTGACTCTAACAAAATTTCATATTACACAAATTCAGACAAATAAAATTGTCATTGGTCCATTTGAGGACAAAAAAGTTTACAGCTATTACTGAGAAACCGGTCATTATTTAACATTCGAATTATTAATTTCCACGCTTTCATCTACCAGCCAATTCGCGAGCTAATGCTATTTCTTTCTTTCGTTAACACAGGTTAGTGCGTCGAGACGCTATTGAAATAATCGTTCGTCGTTCGAAGATGGGCGATTGGTTTTTATTATACTTATTAGGTGAAAATATAGATACAGTTATATTTCGTGATGTTGTACAGGATTTAGCCAATCGTTTAGGACATAACCAACACCACAGGGTGCCTGGACTGAAAGGTGAAATACAGGATGCATGATATTGGGAGTATTAGAAACAATACAAAATGCAATTTGTCGTCTCAATATAACCATCACCAACAACAACAACAATAAAAACACCAAAACCGCTTTAGCAACAGCATCAGCACCGGCTTCAAAAAAAAATCTCACCAACGCAATAAAAACGAAAAAAAAACAACGGAAAAAATTTCAAAAAAAAGCGAAAACACATTTTGGCCATCGATACCACACACCGCGCATAAAATATTCTGCCATAATCACGTTCATCTTTTTTAGAAAAGTATATTACAATATAAAGCCACTTGTGTGCGAAATCAACGATTTTAGACTAACCAAATTTAAAAAAAAAATAGTGTGTATGACAGCGACGAGACGACTTGTGTAAACAAATATGTATATGTGTGCGAATGTGCGTGTGTGTAGACAACAGAATTAAGCGTAGCAAACGTAAGGAATAGCGATTAAGCGTGTGTTCGAGCAGAAGATCTCACCAGCATCCGTAAATCATCAGACGCACCACATACTAAATACTCATTGCTTGTCATATCATATCAACAACTATCGAAAAGGAGTACGACTGAGACGACACCCGCAAAAGATTGCATTTTTGTAGTGAACCAGCAAGGACAGCAAGTGGGCTGTGTGGCCGCCAAATAGACAACAGGCAATAGGCAACAGGCCGTGGACCACCCAACCAGCTAGTCAGCAACCTAAAGCCCTAAAGACCGCAATATCATGAAAACAACAACAACAATGCATACATATGTACATATTCTTTAACAAACAAGGCACTAGATCTATGTTCATGTATGTATGTATGTGTGGGCGCGGCCGAAGGAGGAGTAACGACGCGTTTTTATAAAAAAAAAAGTCTACTAAAAATAAACCAACCAAAAAAAATCGATCATTACGCAGCCAACATAAAACATACAAAACTAAAATGCATAGCTGAACATACCTACATACATACATACATACATATTTTATATAAAACTGAAAAAGAAAAAATCCATAAACCAAAAAAAAAAATAACAAATTCCAATATCATAAGCAGAAACATTATTAGCATAACAACGAGAAGGACATTAGCATAAATCAGTTTATACACAGTTAACCAGAAGAGCATTAGGCCAACTGCATACAGTACATGCATACAAACATACAAACTTACAGAGAGCAAAACAGTAAACGAAGTTTCATTAAAGTATGCGATTACATTTGGAAGTTTTACGAAATATGCAAAATATCCATAAAAACTCATTGAACTAATTACATAACATAAATACATACAAACAAGTACATAATGCAGCATACATACACATAAACAATAAGAGAGAACATACATATACATATACATACATACATACTCGTATATAGCGCGCCTCATTAAGTAACCGAGAAAAGTAGCATTTAAACTGAAGACATACTCGTACGCTCGCTCGTACATGGAAACTTGCATACATACATACATACATTAAGCTAATATATAATTACATTAAGTACATTTATTATACATAAATAGGAATTTAATAAAAAAATTTTAATTAACTAAAACGAAATACAGCAAAGGTATGAATGCAAATGAATACTCGTATGGAAATGAGACAACATTACATATACATATATATCATTACAAAGTATTTGTGCAATTGAGATGTAAATACATATATAAGTACATAGACACATACATACATACATACATATGTATAAATTAAACGTATTGTCAAGGAAATTATGTATTTAGCTAGCTAGTGAAATACCTAATACATATACATACATACATACATTGTATGCATGTTATGTATGTATACGCCAATTAACCATTAAAATAGAGACATCCATACATCTATACATAAATATAATATAAATATTGCTTAAGTTCATTCATACATACTTACATACATATATCTATATTAATACATAGATACAAACACACATTATAGTGAAAAGAGAAATACAATAAATGCGAAAATGAGCTGTTTTTCACCACAGTATACATACATACATACTACTTACATACATATGTAGTTATACAAGTAAAACAAAAATAAGATGTATGAAATTTATGACTTACAAATAAAATTTACAAGTACGAGTGAAAATTTAAAGCAACACAGTTAGGAAAATAATTAATTAGAAAATAAATAAAAAAATAGTGGAATACCAAAGCTACAAAACGATGAAAGAACTATTTCAATTGCAGGCACTTTATTATACACATTAGTCATTTTTAAATATCAAAGAGGTATATTGAAAATAGCCAAAAAATCCAAAAAAGAGTGTGTATGCATGTGTAGTGTTGGGCTTGTATGTGCATACATACATACATACATACATATGTAGTTATAAACAGAAGTGCAATAAGGGCTCTTAACCGGCGTGATCACAGTGCACTATATGCTATGTATGTATAGCACCAATGCTCCATCGATGGCATACATATAAAAATAAGCTCCCTCAGCAGAAGTTGTCGGAATGAGGAAGAAGAGAAATCGTTCACCACTTCCTGTGTCAATGTCCAATACTCCAGACAAGGTATCTCAAGCAATTGGTGTGACGACTTTTCAATACTTTGGGGAGATGGCGGAGGTGAAAATATCGGCGCTCCTTAGCTTCATCCGTTATAGTAAATGGTTTAACAGACACCATACTGACAATATGGAATAACTTTGGTAATAGGATGTGCACTCATAGAGAGCATAACTAAATGCAATACACCTCAGTAAGCACTGCTTATGACCAATAAAGGGTTGGTAATAGATTAAGTGGATGCTAGCTCATAAAAAAACGGTATAAGAACATGTGGTGTGATCGAGGATAACACCCGTTATACTAGGGTGGAAGGATCAAAGAAATTACTTCCTGAAAGTCTAGATATCAAAAATGCGTTAAATACTGCAGACTGAGCTAAAGCAATCGGCGCATTGCACCAGAAATAAGAAAATCCTCTGCACTGAAAAGGCTCATACGTAGCTACTTTGACGACCATCTTCTGGAATATCAAACGTCGTTTCATAAATAATGTTCCGCACCTAGGCCTGACTCTGTTCTTGCTTTTTAATGAGAAATAAAATTAAAAAAAAAAGATATGCATATGATGAGGCTAAATTCGATTCTGTAATGCGGTTTGATGGTTTCGAATGCAAGTAATCAAATCTACTTAGGAAATATAGATTCAAATCAAAAATGATTCCTACTTCTGCTTTAAGAAATTTCCGTTGGGATCTCAATGTAAATTACTGACAGGCTCTAGGCCGCTTCTTTTGGCTGACGTTAGCCTTAATCTTCCTTCTCGTGTATCAATAAACTTGTATCTCCTATTTTTGAAAGCTTGTAAGACCAACTTTGAATTACATGAGCCATTCCATTGTTTATGCCAGGCTTTTAGTTCTCCTTCCAGCACCTTTGATATGTCATATTCGCCTTTCAACATTAGGAAAGCGATACTATCATCTCTCAATGAATTATTGACTAATATAACGACATATTAATCAGCTGACAAATTTGGTTCTGAAGCGGAATAGTTTTAGATCTCGACTCTAAACAAACGTTTGTCTTTCGTGACACGGCGCAAAAATTAAAAAATAATTCGGTAAGTCATGCGGACTGCTCTCCTCGTGGAGGATGGCAACCATTGGAAATAATAATAATAAAATATTGTGTGCTTAACCAACGTGCGTGAGTCGCAAGAGTGGTATGCGACGCGATGTCGCAAACAAAAAGAGAATTTGAACACTTGAACGGCAAACAAAAAAATCCATTTATATAACAAGCTTTTATTTCTTGCTCGCGCCTAAATGCATGCTATCCAATAAGCATTTTAATTGGAGATCAAGTGGAGATCCAATACAAAAGCTGGAACAATCAAATTTAAAAAGCTGGACATCAATTTGAATTTAAGCTTTATTAAATTTTTACTCAAACCTTGGGAGAAATGTTGCAGATAAATGTTGTATGCCAACTTGAGGATTAAGAATTTCTCAAAGTTTAGAAAAAATGTTTGCTTTGTCCATATTGGGTATCCACTGCTGGATGTGCAAAACTTTGCTTTAAGACATTTATGAAATATTTGCATATGCACTTTTCAAATATCAAAACTTTCTAAAGTAATAAATTGATGGCACTTCAAATAAGTTCGGCCTAGCCCTACGCATTCTCTGATAACTCGTCTGGGGCTTTTTGTGGGCTCGGCATAACTTAAAACCATGCATTGGTGTTAATTGATGATAACCACTCTCCACAGTGCCTACCTACCAATTTTTTGATTAAATACAAAATTTTGTTTTAGATACATGCAACAAGATTTTTCGCCTTATTAAAGCAAAAGCTTCCCGCATAGTTGGTCACCGTTTTTTTTTTCAAGAAATAATGCTTTCCACATTTCCAAGCAAACGACCAAATAATATTTCTTTAATAATAAATATGGCATCTCATATGCATTTTTTGATGACTTTAACAAAGGTTTACGAAATTTCTATAGAAGCCGGGAGTTTATGTATGTATGTATGATAATACACATATATGTATGTTTGTATGTATGTACTTTCGAGTGCAAAAATTTGTAGTTATATTACCAATTTTAATTTCTTTATTAACCATCAATCTGCCCTTTGATTAAATATATGTTTTTTTTTTCGTACATAAACTTATACACGTACATAGTTACATACGTAAAATACTCACATAAACATAACATGATTTTCAAGTATCCGTCCAAATATTATGGTTCATACACATTATTGGCATACGAATTTCGATCAAACGTCATCGTTGTAGCAGCACTCATCTGTTAGCAGTTATCAATAAACTTATATAAATGCATGTTAAAAAAATTAAGTTCTTTTTAGCCAACTTAAAAAAAAGGAGGAGGTCATCAATTCGTGGGAATATTTTGTTTTTATATTTTTTATGTACCTCTGTTACTGCATAACTTTGGACCACGTTAATCGATTTTTTTAAAGGAAAGGTGGTGCCTCAGAGGTGGTCCCATACTAATTTCCCTTAGATCCGATACTCTTAAATTTTTATATGAGAATTGAAGTTGGTTTTGTTTTTTGTTTAAAAGTTACTTGTTATAATATGGAAACAATATGAACCCTCTACTTTTGTTTGAATATTAAGGCCAGATTATGTTAGTTCATTCGGTGTTCAAAGAAATGACGCAGTTTATCAGATTTCTAAGAATCGCGTTTCACTTCCACTTTCACCTATTACGATTTACTGGAAAAAATTCTTAGAATAATCCAAAGCGAATATACGCATATTTATGTATATACCTATATCCTGAGGTATCATGGCAAAACCTTTAAATTGGTCATTAAAAAATTGTTTCTAAACTCTCAAGCAAATTTAATTTCAGAAATCTCAAGCGTATTACTCAAAGTGCGGGGATTCGCGTAGTAATTTATTTATGAACTCTACTCTTCCCTCCTAATGCCGCTTATACAGAAATCGTTATTTGTTGAACGAGCATGGGCCACAGTGACTATCAGAAGTCGTTCCGAGACTCCTCTTGGGGGAGTTAAGAATATTTAGATTGCCTTTTTCCCTTTGTCATTAGCCATTGGGCTCCGTTGGGCCCCATTTTTTGAGAGAGCGTCCTATGACCACCAAGAATCTACCATGTGCTGCCAGGTGGATGCCTTACTTATGTTGTTGTTGTGTTTCAGATGAACTAGCAACGAAGGGGCCCTTATTGTCTGGAATCAGAACCAAGATGGTCTACAGAGCCTACTTCCAGGATAGCAAGGCATATTTGGCCTAAGTAGGTATCGCCCCCTCATTCGCTTGGCGCGACCCGTGCTCCGACATGTAATTGGAGTTCTCATCGGGCACTGTCTCGCGCTATTAGAATGGGTATGCAATCAAACGACTACTGTCGAAGCTGTCGTCATGTGGATGAAATGAAAAGCATAGGGCATTAGCTACCCAAATGTCCTGCATTGAAGGGGGCTCGTTTCTACACTATTCTT